ACTTGACTCAGGAACAGTTAGTTACACCACGCATGGAGTGTATAAGTGTATGCCATCACATATAGTCATCAGCTAGTTTACTCCTCCTATCATGTGATAGCTATACATTAAACGTAGCTAGATACATTTAGATGTGTAAACTGATGCACAGACCAAGGTTTATCTCATCACACCAGATGAGATAGTACAGGGAAGAAACCCTGAAACATCCGATAAGTTTGAGGATTCTTTCCATAAGGATTACATTTTTGCATAGGGAATACATCTACCTCCTTTGTCTAATATGTTTGGATTTGCAGTGAGTTGTGTAGCTCCTGGAGTGATTAGGTAATTTGAATGTGCTGTAGCAAATGGCACCATATTATCTTTAAAGTGTACTACTTATGACCAGGCCCCATAGCCATTTGGGACAATTCTACCACTATAACTTCATATTCATTATCTCCAGCACCATTCCAGTGTCTACATATGTGAAAACGACACATTTCCATGATCTGTGATTAAAAGGGTAAGAAGAAAGCTCCTAAAAATGCTTCTCTGTGACATCACAGGGTAGGATTAAAAGTAAGACAAACAGTGATTTTCAAAACCTGCAATGAGTGTATAGCCAGAGGGAACCCACTGGGCACAAACTGGTTGAATCAAGGTTGTTTCAACGTAATTTGTCAACCTATTGTGACTTGGAATCTATGTGGAAAATACATTGGATTTGAAAAAAGTTATCAACCATTGTTTTGATGGTGAAATTTAATCCACAGGATTGTGTCATCATGGATAAACCTTTTGTAAAATATGTTGAATTTGTACTTTTAAAACAACGTCAGATCTTCAACATTATATCCACTAGCAGAGAAAAAAACAATTACCGGAGAATTTATCTATCTACAGCTACTCCCATCCAGGGTTTCAACCAAGCCCAAGCTATGATATTTGTCACTGACTATTACCAATGTGCTATCGTGAGAATGATTGTTGAGAGATCTCCAATTAAAAACTAAATAGATTCACTGTTGCTATCGAACCCATTCAAAAGGGTTAACAGAGCAAACTAAATGTGACCATACTTTATCACTCTAATGTCATCAATTATGCTATTTGCCCTAAATAGCATTTGCAAAGTCATCAACAGCTATTATTTCAATTCAACCCAGAATTAAACTAAAAATAGACAATTCAATAAGCCTAGGGTTTCAAGCTCTGGTTTATTTCAAATTGAATGATATTTAGTGATATTGAATTGTGTTTGCTTGTCAACGTAACCAAATATCAACATTTGAAGGAGATGTATCTTCTGTTTGGATAGTTCCATCTGTGCCACTGACTTAGTCTGTCTTTAATTCCAGTTTGTTTTCAAATTAATAATTGATATGTTGGATTCATGTCTCCATCTCAACCAAAAAACAAAGTTAAAGAATAGGACTAAATCAAATCAAACTTTATTTAAAGTAGACGTGAATCCAACATATCATTAATTTGTAGACAAACTGGAATTCATGCCAGACTAAGTCAGTGGCACAGATTCAAGCAGTAGATACATCTCCTTTAAATGTGCATATTTGGATGCATTGTCAACCAACCACAATTCAGTATTACTTTTGTAATAAAGTAAATCAGGGGTTCCCAAACCTTTTCACTCAGGCCCCCCTTCCAGCATTAGGGAACATCCCGTGCCCCCCTTGCACACGCCACATCTATTTATATGGGCACAAGCACTGTTCATTACATTTAGCAGACGCTCTTATCCAGAGCAACCTTACAGTTAGTGCATACATTCTTTTTTATACTGCCCCCCCCCCGTGGGAATCGAACCCACAACCCTGGCGTTGCAAACGCCATGCTCTACCAACTGAGCTACATCCCTGCCGGCCATTCCCTCCCCTACCCTGGGCCAATTGTGCGCCACCCCATGGGTCTCCCGGTCGCGGCCGGTTACGATAGAACCTGGATTCGAACCAGGATCTCTAGTGGCACAGCTAGCACTGCCTTAGACCACTGCGCCACTGTTCACACCCCTCTTGTTGGCAGAGAGAAAATGTTGTAGGTTTAAAGCTTATTTTCTTGCAATTCTATACATTTTGCTATGGCTAATGTTTATTCATGTGATATTTGAGTGACTCAAACATTACAACAAAATCTATGGGCTAAAAAACCTAGCTAAAAAACGTTAGCTGACATGGGCTAGTTGATCTGGACATTTCTGACAAGTTATAAATAGCTCTCCAAGGTATGCAATGACTGACATGACAAGAGGGAGGAAAACTGATGATGCACTACAATTTCGAAATTGCACCTTGTGCATTCTACTATTACAACTTTCAAGAGTAAGTTGAAAGCCGGACTGAGTTCCTTAAAAAAAAAAATTTTTAATGCGCCCCACAGTTTGCCAAAATGGCAGCCAGCTGAATCAGCTCCACATGTCTCTATTTCTTTAACCTTTATTTAACTAGGTTAGTTAAGAACAAATTGTTATTTACAATGACAGCCTACCCCGGCCAAACCCTCCCCTAACCTGGACGACGCTGGGCCTTAGACCGCTGCGCCACTTGGGAGCCCTATGTACAGCAGCATGGCCATGGCATCTGTCCCGCTGCAAACTGGGACTGACAGACAGGCTACAGTACGTCCCAAATGGCGCCGTATATAGTATCAGTTCTCTATGTTTGACAAGTAGTATGGAGCTGCGGCTCAGAGTATTGTTTCTTCATCCTATGTAATGTATTCTAAGTCAATTTGGTGATGTTTTTTTCCCCTGTTCAGAGAAATTAGTCATTGAAGTTGTTGGGTTTATGTCCCATCCTACATCCTGATATTACCAGGTTCTGACCACTAGATGGTGCTGTTCCCCCACCCCCATTGTTAAAGGGATAGTTCACCCAAATTACATATTGATTTTCTTACCCTGTAAGCAGTCAATGGACCAGGTATAACAGCAACCCATGCTTTGATTTTGTTTACTTGGCCACTGTTTTTTGTGGGCCTCTGTAGCCCAGCTGGTAGAGCACGGCGCTTGTAACGCCAAGGTAGTGGGTTCGATCCCCAGGACCACCCATACACAAAAATGTATGCACGCATGACTGTAAGTCGCTTTGGATAAAAGCGTCTGCTAAATGGCATATTATTATTATTATTATTACTGTTTCAAATGCTAACTTTTTTGCATTTGTGGCATAAATCCAATGCAAGTGAATGATACCTATATTAGCATTTCCACGCTTAGTTAGCAGTTGAAACAGTGGCCAGGTAAACTAAACCAAAGCATGGGTTGCTGTTATACCTGGTCCATAAACTGCTTACACGATAAGAAAACCAATATTTATATAATTTTGTAATTTGGGTGAACTATCCCTTTAACAATTTCACTGAGAATACATTACATTGGATGAATAAATAATACTCCAAGCTGCAGCTCCATATTACTTGTCAAACATAGATAACTGATACTACAGTTCGGTATATACTCATTTTTGGGGTGGGATTAGCGTGGGGTGTGGGGGGTCCGTGGATGGCTTTTGATCACTTCTTTGGATTCCTCATGTCTTACTCAAAGTTAGAAAAAAGCTTGGTCCAAATCAGATGTTAATTACTATAATTATTGAATATTATATGAATCCTATAAATTAAAATGGCCAAATTGGGTGCAATCAATTAACTTAATTTCTCAAAGATCAAATTATATTTCAACTAAATAATGTTGCAGGAATGCTAATCTTATCTGTTTCTAACCCCCGAAGCAATTTCAGTAAACAATCTGAGATGGTTGGTGTCAAAATCCAATTTTGTTGTGCTTTTTGAGGTGGAACGACCCTCATGTTTGTTGAGAGGAATGCATTCAGGTTCACAAATAAAACATGAAAGTGTTGGGAAAGGAAAGGCTCAGTGTGTGAGGAGCTAATCCTAAAGACCAAGGTACTCTAACCAGAATTCTGACTTAAAAAGGCTTTAATTGGTACATCCATAGATTAAGTTGTTTTGTCACAGAATAGAAATGGAAGAGAGAAAGTGGCTATAAAATGTTTACACATTCTATCTTGGTATTTTAGTTGTTAATGGCTTGCTTTTGATGGTCAATGTAAACTTTAACAAGGAAAAAATTTTTTAAACAAAGTATGTCGACAGCCGCCTCACAACATAAGTCAGAACCGGATTTTATTCATTAGCGTCCCAAATGGCACCCTATCTCCTATATAGTGCACTACTTTTGACCAGAGATCTTTGGGCCCTGATCAAAAGTAGTGCACCATGTAGGGAATAGGGTGCCATTTGGGAAGCACACCATACGGTTGGCAGCCAACTCCTCATAGCTGAGGTTCTGAGGGGGCAGAAAACCATCTGTAGGAGATATTTTGGTTTCCAACCTCAGAAAACTGTGTCACATTGTTGAAAGGGTGGATACTAGTAAACAAAGCAAAGATGTCAGCAGGAGAAAATGAAGAGAGAGCAACAACATGATGCAATCAAAAACAATTACCTTTATCTTATTATCTTGATCTAGGCTAGATAACCTCTAAACTCTCAGGGCATGTGCTTGTTCAGTGAGGTAAGACCGTATGTATAAAATATGCAGCTCGTGCATTGCATACAGTCTCTCAGGAAATGAGAAGAAGGTCCAGGACATAGAAAATGACATTTGACATGTACTTGTTACATTGCATGGCTGAAGATATTGTGTGTACTCTGTGTACAATGAACACGTACCTACATGTCACCTCAGGACAGATTGTCTGTAACTATGATTTTCATCAGCAGATTAATTTATCTGATAAAGCTAATAACAAATACATAGCAAACCGATACAAACGATAGTGCAATTGGGAGGTGACAAAGAACGAACAAGTGTTTTATTATTTTGCTTTTACAGACAACAACAAAATAACTATTTTTATTTTTTGCAATAAATTATATTTTAATAGTCACTAGAAAAAAAGTTGGCCGCGGAAAGCGGGGGCTGAAGGCTGAAACGCTTCCTGATTGGATGTGGGTTTTGTTTCCGCTGGGCTTGAAGTGTTTATATAGCCAATCACCGTTGAACAGGCAGTACGTGTAGAAAGTGAGCCTAGCAGTACATTTCTCTCTTGGTGGAAGTGCACAGCGGAGTGACATCATCCAACCTTTCACCATATTCTGAAACATGGAAGAATCAAGTAGTTGACGTTAACTGAACCTTCTCTTTTGAAGCTTTCTTCCGTCTGATCACTGAGTTCCTAGTGAGCTGACCGGTCCTGGTTTTGTTGACGTTTTTTTGCAAGTTACCTGAACTTTCACTGTCTGACAAGATGAAGTACATTATCGGCATCGGCGGGTGAGTGTCTTAAAATAACTTGTAATGTAGCCTACTAGGCCGCAGCACGTGGGGCTGGGCGCGTTCCATAGAAAGACGGCTTGTCCATTATCTTTCCGTCATCGTGGCCACTGTACAGCCCTTCCCTTTTCAGCAGTACATTTCCATTGTCTAATAAATACCAAAAATATGGTTCTGAAATGTTCTATTCGATATCTCTGATGTTTCCGCCTAGTCTCATCGCTCCGGGAGCGAATACCAATATATTTATAACTAACCCCTTCTGTCTGTGGCGAAGAGGCTAGTTAAACGTTTGTAACATTGTAACGAAATTCACTACAATAATGTTGCCAGCGTCGTTAAAGTAATACAAACGTGTGCAAATAGTTCTCTGATCCTCTGCCCGCTAGTTACCATTCATATGTAATGCCAGCGCCTTTGTGATACGTTGTACAATACAGCGCCCTCCCTCGTGGTGTTTCTGACCATATGTGATTGTGTATGTCTTTACAGCGTAACCAACGGGGGAAAGACCACCCTCACCAACAAACTGATCAAGAACCTTCCCAACTGTTGTGTGGTTCATCAGGATGACTTTTTCAAGGTGAGTCTTTTATGAGTGTATTACTGTTGTTATTACTATGTTGTTGGTCGCTATTCTAGTGATAAAGACTAAACGCACATTGCACATGGGCTAGATTCGTCAGAGCTTTGAATCTATATCATTGCTTGGAAGAACTAGTGTGGAAAGTAGCCTAGCCTGTTTCCTTCAGTGTGTGTTGGGAGAGAGGCGTGAGAGAGGGTTGGCAGACCCTGAGAGGTGTTCATATGGCAGAATGTTAGAATGTACCTGGGTACATCTCATTCATGTATGTTTCAGCCACAAGATCAGATTGAAGTTGGTGAAGATGGCTTTAAGCAGTATGATGGTAAGACGGGTTCTTTCTGGAAGGGTTGTGTGTGTGTGTGGGGGGTGAGTTTGTTTGTGTGTGTGTGATTGACAGTGTGTGGGTGTGTAACACACTACTACTCAATACAATCATCATGCTTCTTAACCAAGGAGGCTGATTTTAGCTGTACATCTCTCCGTTTCTCACCCTCTCTCTCCTTTATATGCCTTTTCCCTGTCATCATCCCTCCTCCGTCCCTCCAGTCATCACTGCCCTCGACATGGACGCCATGATGAGTACCATCTACGCCTGGTTTGACGACCCGGTGAAGTTTGAACGGTCGCACGGCGTCAACAACACCTTGGATACCGAGATTCTCCCGGAGTCTGACCACAAGGATGAGGAAACTCACATCCTCATCGTGGAAGGATTCCTGCTTTACACCTACGGGTGAGAACTCTTGTCTCTCTCTCCTCCCTCTCTTCCTGCTCCTGAACTATGGGTGAGGAGGACAGCATGTGTTTCTCTGTGTCTGTCTCTTAGTAGAGCATCAGTAGTTCTAGATCCGGTTAATTTAGAGGCTTTCTTGTTATATATGTCAAATGGGATACCACAGTAATATGGTAGTAGTAACAACAGGACACTTGGTCAATACTTTGAATATTTCTTCCTGTTTAAATAAGTAATAAGCGTGTACATTGAAAATGAAATTCTTTCACACATAAGTGAAACCCCTGTCTGGAGTATGTTCTCTCCTAACAACTCTGGGTGAGGGGCCGGTGCATTCCTCACATGAGTGAGACGTACGTTCATCTCATTCTGTCAAAGACCTGTCAGACTTATAAAACTAAAAATATAATATTTCCAATTATGTTTGTGTTCCTGCAGACCTTTGATCGACGTACTGAACCAACGCTATTTTATTTCCATTCCATACGAAGAATGCAAAAAGAGGAGGTGGTAAGTAAAAACTCTGAGATTCAAACACAGACATATCTACCTGAACATCCAGCTTTTTGCTGCTTTACTGTTGTGAAGGAACCTTTCAGCTAATCCCAGGTGTGTGTGTGTGTGTGTGTCCTGTGTGCAGCTCAAGAAACTACAAGGTACCAGATCCCCCCGGTCTGTTTGATGGTCACGTCTGGCCCATGTACACCAAACACAAGAACATCATGGAAACATCAGGCGTTGATGTTGGTAAGTGTCTGTCTGGTTTATGTGTGCACATTATATCATGTGGTGTTTGTGATAAATGTGTAATGCTTCTTCTGTGTGTGTGTGTGCACGGCATATTGGTTCTCCTACTTATACATGTGTAGTATCTGATTTCATGTTAGTCATTATTTGGGTGTGGTGTTTACAGTTCAGCTAGATGGAACTATGTCAAAGGAACAACTGTACAACGTTGTCTACGGAGATGTCCTGAACAACATCCAGAAGTGTCTGTAAGCAACAAAGGTACGTTTCCTTCCTGTCCCTTCATTTCAGCCTCAAAACCATGAAAACATCACTACCTGTAAATCCTAACAAATAGTTGTTTGTGTGTAAATAAACTAATCGTTGTGAAAATAAACGTGTGAGGATAGTTTTGTTGTGTAAAACAACTAATACTTGTGCATCTAAATATACTAGGTGTATGTGTTGTATAAATCGCAACTAATAGGTTTGTGTTCTTCCAGGTCAATCTATCGGCTAAGAGCAGGATGGATCTGCTACATGAGGAGAAGGAGAGGCGCGCATTGCCTTAACCGTTCCTACGTCTTTCTGACCTGCAGCTAGCAACACTCTACCGGCTGCTGCTGCCACCGTGATATTACTATTTTCTAGTGTAAATTATTATTATATGCTGGCATGGTTTTATATCCTCCATATTTATTGCTTTGTTACGGGCCACCAGGCAGTCAGTCACAGAGATGACAATGGAACAGTTGAGAGGGTTGCAGCTCAAAGCACAACACCAATAAACAATCCTCCTGCTAAACAGACTCTACTCTCTGTTGTCTTCTATAACTGTTGGTTTCCACTGTATTATTCAACCTGTTGACATGAAGTGCACCCATATACCGTTGAAATGGAGCAGGATATGAAGGTTTCCTCTCCAGTTCTACTGTACATAGTGGAGTTTAATCCCATGACTATCGCTCCAAATAGACATCTCTTCACTTTGTTTACTGTAGAATGACTTATAGTTCCGCTTCCACCCTTCCATTGACAGTGTGTGTACGTCTGGCTCAGACACATCCCCAGCCAGTGCAGAGCTAAATGCTCGTTGGGGTTTTCGCACTTTCACCACTAAACAGGTCTCTGCGGCAACGCTCGCTATCTATCCCCCCGGCAACAGTTGGCACGAGTGATAGCAGGGTGTGATCACGAGACTACCCTGTGACTTTGCTGACAACCATTTAAGATCTGCTTCACTGGAAAATCAACTCTTTTTTTTATTTATTTTTTCTCAGGATTTAGCCACGCTGTACAGTATGCTTATTTCTACAGAGTTTTGACTTCATAGATAGTGGATTCTAGAACTTATATAGAACAAACTGAACTCCAGAACTTATATAGAACAAACTGAACTCCAGGAAAAGACTGCTACATCACCAGCTCATGCTCTGTTGCTATTGGCTGGTCACAACTGCGTTTGTTTGTTGACATTGCTGAATCATTGGCAACAAGTAGCTCATTACATTTAGTACATTCTAGACTAAAACATTATGTGCTGTCCCTGGATAGCCTATATGTCAAGGTTGTTTTGTTACTGAAAAGGAAATTCAGCAACTCTTGGATGACAGTGGGAGTTTATTAAAAATGCTTCTTTACTGTTAAAACCAACCAAAACTATGGAAGAACATTGTTTTGTTCAACAGATAATGCAATAGTAAAACAGATCTCCATGTGCAACTGTTCAATAAAGACTCTATTGTGTGTTTTTGGATCTAGCCCCAGACCATTAGGCCACTGGTATGTTGTGTACTCTCGGTCACTCTGCTTACTGAATTGAATCTGGTGGGGGAGAAGCCTGGGATTCAAGGCTACATGTACAACGACATGCAGTATAAATGCCACACCTTCAGTCTAGTCAGTTTAGGGAGAAACGGTAAACTGGAATCCACACTGAATTACTCTGTTTCACTAAAGAAACAGGGCAGCTCAGTTTGTATTCCACAAGGCTATAGAAAGAGACCAAACTGACCTACAGCTGGGAGAGGTCCAAATAACTGTAGTTTGCTCCATAGAGACTGTTTTCATCCCGAATGGCACACTATTCCCTATATAGTGCGCTACTTTTGACCAGAGATCTATGGCCCTTTCAAAAACACCTTTCAAGGAAACTGCATAAGACCATAGGCCTATAAATTGGAGTTGGAATCTTTTCTTCTGTTAAATCAAATATTTTAGACGGTGTGCTGTCTGCTATTTGATAAATGAAAACGTTGAACTTGAAATAGATGAGAACTAGTGTTAGTAATGTCAGAAATATTTCCCCATAGGACTCCTCCTATGATAGGAGTATACTACTGGTCTAAAATAGTTTTTTATGCTCAAACAACTGGAGTAGATGTGCTATCTTAAATTATTCAAATGATGCATTAGAGGCTGCTTACTGTACACATACTTTATATAAGGGGCATTTTGCAGATCACGTCCAGATACACATCCCTTTCCTAGCTCTCTGCTAAATAGGACTATGTCCACATATATGTCTTAAATGTGTCCTTCATATACACTCAATGTGAAGCATTTTTTCCCTCTAATGGGAATAAGATGTCAGAAGTATAAGTAATGCTACAGGGGAAGGAAAAGGCCCTCACCACCAACCCACACCAGAACCCTAAACCAGACAGAACGTCTTGGGCCATGGGGGTGTGAGTCAGCATGCAGGATTATGAGAACAAGCATTGGCCTCTGGCCCACTTTTCAAATGAATAGAGTTCAACTGTTTGTTTGTCTCTCCCATTGAATATGTGTGTGTGCATGTGTCCATACATTATGAGCATGCTTTGTCTCTATATACACTTTGAGGTAGTAAGGAAATTATATTATTACATACAGTACGCAACACACACGCGAGCTGCCCAGTGACACAAGCCTACCAGACGAGCTAAACCACTTCTATGCTCGCTTCGAGGCAAGCAACACTGAAGCATGCATGAGAGCACCAGCTGTTCCGGATGACTATGTGATCACGCTCTCCGTAGCCAATGTGAGTAAGACTTTTAAGCAGGTCAACATTCACAAGGCCGCAGGGCCAGACGGATTACCAGGACGTGTACTCCGAGCATGTGCTGACCAACTGGCAAGTGTCTTCACTGACATTTTCAACATGTCCCTGACTGAGTCTGTAATACCAACATGTTTCAAGCAGACCACCATAGTCCCCGTGCCCAAGGACTCTAAGATAACCTGCCTAAATGACTACCGACCCGTAGCACTGACGTCTGTAGCCATGAAGTGCTTTGAAAGGCTGGTCATGGCTCACATCAACAGCATTATCCCAGAAACCCTAGACCCACTCCAATTTGCATACCGCCCCAACAGATCCACAGATGATGCAATCTCTATCGCACTCCACACTGCCCTTTCCCACCTGGACAAGAGGAACACCTACGTGAGAATGCTATTCATTGACTACAGCTCAGCATTCAACACCATAGTGCCCTCTAAGCTCATCACTAAGCTAAGGATCCTGGGACTAAACACCTCCCTCTGCAACTGGATCCTGGACTTCCTGACGGGCTGCCCCCAGGTGGTAAGGGTAGGTAACAACACATCTGCCACACTGATCCTCAACACGGGGGCCCCTCAGGGGTGCGTGCTCAGTCCCCTCCTGTACTCTCTGTTCACCCATGACTGCATGGCCAGGCACGACTCCAACACCATCATTAAGTTTGCCGACGACACAACAGTGGTAGGCCTGATCACCGACAACGATGAGACAGCCTATAGGGAGGAGGTCAGAGATCTGGCCGTGTGGTGCCAGGACAACAACCTCTCCCTCAACGTGACCAAGACAAAGGAGATGATTGTGGACTACAGGAAAAAAAAGAGGACTGAGCACGCCCCCATTCTCATCGACGGGGCTGTAGTGGAACAGGTTGAGAGCTTCAAGTTCCTTGGTGTCCACATCACCAACGAACTATCATGGTCCAAACACACCAAGACAGTCGTGAAGAGGGCACGACAAAGCTTATTCCCCCTCAGGAGACTAAAAAGATTTGGCATGGGTCCTCAGATCCTCAAAAAATTCTACAGCTGCACCATCGAGCGCATCCTGACTGGTTGCATCACTGCCTGGTATGGCAACTGCTTGGCCTCCGACCGCAAGGCACTACAGAGGGTAGTGCGTACGGCCCAGTACATCACTGGGGCAAAGCTTCCTGCCATCCAGGACCTCTATACCAGGCGGTGTCAGAGGAAGGCCCTCAAAATTGTCAAAGACACCAGCCACCCTAGTCATAGACTGTTCTCTCTGCTACCGCACGGCAAGCGGTACCGGAGTGCCAAGTCTAGGTCCAAAAGACTTCTCAACAGCTTCTACCCCCAAGCCATAAGACTCCTGAACAGCTAATCATGGCTACCCGGACTATTTGCACTGCCCCCCCACCCCATCCTTTTTACGCTGCTGCTACTCTGTTAAGTATTTATGCATAGTCACTTTAACTCTACCCACATGTACATATTACCTCAACTACCTCAACTAGCCGGTGCCCCCGCACATTGACTCTGCAACGGTACCCCCCTGTATATATAGCCTCCCTACTGTCACTTTATTTTACTTCTGCTCTTTTTTTTCTCAACACTTTTTTTGTTGTTGTTTTATTCTTACTTTTTTTGTTTAAAATAAATGCACTGTTGGTTAAGGGCTGTAAGTAAGCATTTCACTGTAATGTCTGCACCTGTTGTATTCAGCGCATGTGACCAATAAAATTTTATTTTATTTGATTTGACACACACTCATAGGCATACTGTACATACACACATATACAGTGCATTCGGAAAGTATTCAGACCCCTTGACTTTTTCCACATTTAATTACATTACAGCCTTATTCTAAAATGTATTTTTGCAAATGTATATAAAAAAAAACATAAATACCTTATTTACATAAGTATTCACACCCTTTGCTATGACACTCGAAATTGAGCTCAGGTGCATCCTGTTTCCATTGATCATCCTTAAGCTGTTTCTACAACTTGATTGGAGTCCACCTGTGATAAATTCAATTGTTTGGACATGATTTGGAAAGGCACACACCTGTCTATATAAGGGCCCACAGTTGACAGTGCATGTCAGAGCAAAAACGAAGCCATGAGGTCGAAGGAATTGTCCGTAGAGCTCCGAGACAGTTTTGTGTCGAGGCACAGATCTGGGGAAGGCTACCAAAAAATGTCTGCAGCATTGAAGTTCCCCAAGAACACAGAGGCCTCCATCATTCTTAAATGGAAGAAGTTTGGAACCACGAAGACTCTTCCTACAGCTGGCCGCCCGGCCAAACTGAGCAATCGGTGGAGAAGGGCCTTGGTCAGGGAGGTGAAGAATCCGATGGTCACTCTGACAGAGCTCTAGAGTTCCTATGTGGAGATGGGAGAACCTTCCAGAAGGACAACCATCTCTGCAGCACTCCACCAATCAGGCCTTTATGGTAGAGTGGCCAGACGGAAGCCTCTTCTCAGTAAAAGGCACATGACAGCACGCTTGGAGTTTGCCAAAAGGCACCTAAAGACTCTCAGACAATGAGAAACAAGATTCTCTGATCTGACAAAATCAAGATTGAACTCTTTGGCCTGAATGCCAAGCGTCTCGTCTGGAGGAAACCTGGCACCACCCCTACGGTGAAGCATGGTGGTGGCAGCGTCATGCTGTGGGGATGTTTTTCAGCGGCAGGGACTAGTCAGACTAGTCAGGCAGAGACTAGTCAGGATCGAGGCAAAGATAAACGGAGCAAAATACAGAGATCCTTGATGAAAACCTGCTCCAGAGTGCTCAG